TGCGGTAGAGTTCTTTTCGGTCGTGGCGGTAATGAGTGCTCAGTCGGTGAAAAGCAAAACACTCATCGATTGGTCAAACATACACTAAGCTGCGGTCACCATTTCTCCATCTCTTTTTCTTTCCAATCTTCTTTTCGACGGTCACCCATAGAGGACATCACCTGAGTGATTGGTTATATAAGAAAATAAAACCCAAAAATTCTGGGAAGGAAGGGGCGGCTAGTTAAAAAGGAATCTAATTGTGTTCCATAAAAGTATCGAAAACAGAGCTCTTTTACATCGCTGAACAGGAAATGAGCGATTGGCCGCAGATTAGATTTTCTTCCCCATTGAGGAATAATGCCTTCAAGCTCATGTATGTGTAGTGCACATAATCTCACTGTGTGTACAAGGCTTTTTTTGACCTTTAAAATGTTGAGTTCTGCGCCCACTTTTTAGGAAATTGTGGTTTGTTGTGCTTAATTTGCACGTTATGAGTATGATGTCGATTACAACTGTTATTAATGTTGACGATTACAGATATGAATTACGAAATATCATCTACGAAATGGCATCTTCACGCTTGCCGTCATCAGCTGAGCGTAGCGTATCATAAGTTGTTGCAGTCAAACGAAACTACGTTGTTGCCAGCGATGAGCAATAGCGGCGAAAATCGACTGCCATATATCAAAAGTCATGATATCATAATTCTTTAGCACGGCATTATTCGACCCTATATAGGAAAACTTGATAAGAATATTTTAACCGCATTGTATTGCTCGCTCCGTTGCATTCAGCAGACATTATTCAATCCGCTTGTTATTGGTTTCAGTCGACGACTATTGCTCTGTCTTGACAAGGCGTCGATTATTATAACATTCTTAAAACAGTTAGTTTGCTTTCGGCACAGCATTGGTATTTCATCTAACAATGCATTGTCTTTGATTAACATTTTTTTACCATTTCCAGTAAAGAATGATATACAAACTATACTCATATAAACCTTGGTGACGCGTCGATGGCAGTTGTAAAAGGTAATCTCTTAAGCTTATTTTCTGAGATTGTGAGACTTAGCTGCCTTTCGGAGCTGACTAGACGGGAGCGATAAAAACAATTTGATATCAAGTTTATTCATTAAAGAAGGTTTCATGTTATATTGCGAGGGCTTATCAAAGGCGGGGACACAGCAAATTTTACACACGAGGTTATTTATAATGTAGGGCCAGTTTAATTTTCGTAATAGACCTACTTGGATCAGGCCAATAAAAAGGGAAAGAGGTGTACAATATTTTAGATTTTGATTTGCCATTTCGTTTGGTTGTTTTGGCTTTATTTCATTACAATCCAAAGTAGTTTTACCTTATATCGACAACTCGGTTGCATTTGCACTTGTAACTAGGCTTTCCTTTGGCCATACATTGGATAATTAAAGAAAGGAAAATACCAAGGCGATTATTTTAAAAAAAGTACACTGTATGAACTAGGGGATGAACAAATATTTAAATCGTCCGTCGTATGATCCGCACATACTGACGTCCCGCTGAAGAAAAACGGATCCATGAAACCGGACGTCTTCGAAAAATAAACATTGCTTCACTCAAAGGAACTCGACCTTTTGACTTTTAGAAAAATATGGCTTTGCCGGATCATCTGATTTCAACTGAGAAGCGCATTATCCGTCGTGACTCGATGTCTGATTAATCTTACCTTATACCTGATTTACTTTCCCAAATCTAACTTAAATACTAGCACTTCCTACCCGAACTAAAGATGTGTGAAAGCTTCTGACTTTACATTCTCACAATATATATGTTGTAGGTTATGTATGGCGTACTTCCGTGAATTACAAGCAGTTGGCAGGTCCAATTTAAATCCCCATAATGAGTGCAGCAAAAAAGAATAGCTTAACGAATGTATTAGATGTTTGCAAAAATTTTGATCGTATTTTCACTCGGAAAACACTGTGAGGAGTTAGTATGTGTATTAATGAAAATAGTTTCCATCATTTTCTAGAACATTTTACAATAGTTGTGGCAACACGGCAATACCATGGCGAAAGACCTTATATTGGTTTGGCAGCGATTCTCCCAACGAGCCATTTTCGCACCTTTTCAACTTTGCGGACCCGCGTGCCAGCCAAACCCGGCTGCATCGATCCCAACAAGTGGTAAAAAAAAGGAGCTATGTCTGGTGAGTACACTGGGTGTGGCAGAACTTCCCTTCCGAGCGTCAACAGTGTATTGTTCACAGCTCTTGCAACAAGTGGCCAAATAGCATTTTCAGTCAATTCGTGCCGCCATATTAAACCGTCGGAACCAAAACCGACAATTAGGATATGATGGAGCAACATCACCATAAGCCTCTGAACGTGTTTGATGTGCATCGGCAGCAGAGTTCTTCAAGTAGACAACAAAAGTAATGAATTTGGAACAAGATGAATTTTGAACGCTTTATCATTAGCGTCGGCATTGGCTGAATAAATCAATATTAAAATTCGGGACATCTTTGGTGTTGCGTCCTCTTCTTTACTTTTTTTTTTCTAAAATGCTCTTATATCATTTTTAAATAGAACAGCTCACATGAACACCAAGAGCAAGCAAAAAACGAATAAGAACTTATGCCACGTAATTACGAAAGTCTGCAGGGTTATTGTGAGAGTAAGTATGTCGGCAAGTAGATCTCTTTGAAATTTGATGTCATTGTTCCAAAATTTCTTACGACTCTATAATTGACTTATAATGCTTTCATAGCAATCCGGTTATTAATATTCTTTCCTTTAAAACAATACATAATAATATGTATGCAGGTATATATGTATATGTATACAGCAGTAAGCAGCATAAAGAAAGTAGGCTTGGGAATGGTAACAAAGTTGTTGTTATATATACATGACAGTTGTTACTCTTGTAATTCATTTCACTATAAACATCATAATGATAAAAAGCTGCAAGGAATGGAATAAGTTAGAGAAGAGAACTCTCTTTAACTTAACGAAACCCGTTTCCATCTCAAACGAAAAAGAAAGATGAAAAAAAAAAAAAAAAGAAAAAAAAAATTAAAAACAATTTGTTAAACTTTTTATAAAACCCGCCTAAACATACATAAAGTTAACAATAGATACCTTTTGAAACGGACGGCCCTCGACACATTCATTTCCAACTACAGACAAAGGTAAATGTAAAACCATTATCTAGCAACTGACAAAGTACTACATGCACGATCAGTTCAGTAACCTCCATAAGAAAAATTAACATTTGCTGGTATTGTTGATAAAATGTTTGCATATGTATACATATATATATGTATGGAATGAAATACGTGCAAGATGTTTTCAGTTTTTTTTTATAATTAGCGGATAAACTTATGAATAGAATGATGCAGACAATGACAGGCCAACAGCTAGACACAGATAAAACAATTACAGATATAAAGTTAATTTTCTTACAAACTAAACATACGTGGAAGCATGTGTTGTTATGAAAAACGCGTACAAAAAATTCTAATAATAATAATAATAAATAAATATGATGACGCATCGCAAAAGTATTTACCGTTAAGATTAAACGCCCTCCATTGTTAATGCTGTTTTCATATATAAGTTATATATAAGAGTTAAGTTATATATATAAGAGTTATCTAATTACCGTAACTTGGAATAATTGCGAGGAAAATGCTGATGATCAAAACTCATGCAGAATGTAGATTGTGTACACAATTTCTTTCATCAAACGACCCAATAAATATTTTTTTAATAGAAAAGTTACGTCCAAAGACGCATTTTCTTTCCTTTAATAGGGTTATGTAATTTGCAAAAGAAATTGTATTCATTTTTAGCCAACATGTTAATGGTTTGCATATGATATTTGATTGGGAGGATATAGCAGCATAGCCAGGAGATAGCAGCACACAACAGTACATAACAGCATTTATTGCCGGGCAACATATACATGTGATATGTATATATATTATAATTGTAAGCGAACGGTTGATCTGATTTAAGTGATTTTTACATTCAGGACCGAAGGATGAGGTTTATAATCATTTTGTCAAAACGTTTGCAACGTTCCCAGAAGGGAACCGCAGAAATTTCACATATATCCATACTCAGCATCAAAGTCTGAACTGATTTAAGCGTGTCCCCCTGTCCGGCTGCTGAAAATATTCTACTGAATGGGAAAATACAGGTATCGATTTCAAATTTAGCAGACACATCGGTAGCTTTCTCAGGCAAGTCAGCATTGAAAATGGGTTAAGGGCACGCCTATAATACTATGCAAAGTAAGAACACATCTGCTTTTCGAAAGGAATCAAAAATTGGTTCAGACAACCGCATTAAAATTTAAACGTATATTCTATGAGCGATGTTGTAGTACTTGCACAAAAACGGAGAAAATTGACCGCGCCCACCCAATATTGCAAATCAAAGAGCAATTTTTTTTCAATACCTTTATAATACGCAGAAATAAGCTTCAAAGACCCCACAAGTTATTAAATTCTCGGCCCGTTTGAAATTTTGGATGCACCTAAGCATGTCCGTCTGCCCATCTGCGCAACTGTGTAGTATCTATGCTAAACACTCCCCCATTAGCGGATATGAAGATATCGTCTACAAATTTTTAGAAGAGTACGGAAGTGACCTAAACTTCTCAAAGAACATATCTATGCCTATGCGACAAAAGCTTTTATTTTCAAGCAAACGCATCCAGGGAGATGTATGCCCATTCGGTAAGTGTTACGCTTTTACCGGCCAACTACTCTCACTCTAGATACGATCACATATCAAACGCAAAACGCAAAAGTGAGATTTACCAGCATTGGATATTGAAACCGGATATATCGACTTGATCGCTGTGTGTCTTAACTACTTGTTGGCTTTCGATATTTCATTGGAAGATAAAGAGAAGATCCATTCGCTCGATATATATGTATATATATATATATATATATGTCGATTGAGATCGTAATTGCAATTAAGATGCCACATCGAAACACATATCTAAATCAATTTTGCTACTCGCACAGATTAAAAATATATATGACGTTGTATTATATATTCCCATGCATACTTTTGAGCGTTGCAAACTCATCGCATCGTAAATCACCTGTGTTAGTCGTAAAAGTTGTAATACTATATGAAGTAGAGTATAGAATAAATATAAAGTCAAGCTTGAGAGCTTCGGAAAGGGAGCGTCTGATTTCAATGTAGCTGTTCACCTTTTGATGTTTACTGTTTATTATTTTTATTTCCTTTTTCCGAGCTAACCATCACTAAAACCTGCTACAAAGAGAACAAATGCTTGAGATTTGTTTAATTAAATTACAAACTATAAAGAATGAAAATCAATGGCCATAAATTCTAAACGCGCTACTGTTTATTGTTATTTCACATTAACGTCTTTTGGTCGTGAAAGCTATTTAAATGTCTTTTTTTTGCCATTTGTTAAAAAAAAAAAAAAAAAAAAAAAAAAATTAGAAAAAAACACGTCTGCCATAATAATAAAAAAATTATAATTAAATATTTTCAATGTAAATATTAATATAATGTTATCTACGTAAACATTGTGGGGCAATACCTTATAAGAAAAACGTTTACGGATTGGCAATGAACGCTTAATGCCAGTGTCACTTGCATGCATATATTATAACATTTCCCGTCGTCATATATTCGATTATAGCGAGTGAACACCGCCATATTCTGAAATAAAGCAAACATAACAAAACCCTAAATATCCATACATAGTTAAATAATTATATAAATTTTTTTTTTAATTTTCGGACTTTTAAGAGACTTTATTGGTCTTTTATGGATACCTTGGTTATGCAATTGAAATTTTTGCAATTTCCTTTTTTAGACGCCCAAATCAAAGGACTTTGAACTGAAATGTCGGATTGAGTTTTAATATTGTTACATACACTTATGCACAAAATGTAGGACCAATTTAATTTTATCTTCTTTAGATCCATCCAGTAGTCCAAACCTATTTCGTCGGCTTCAACCGCTCCGATACTATACACATGCGCGGATGTTTGTTCCAATCCTCGAAGACGAATGGCTTTCGAAAGTTTTCTATGACATCTTTTATGTCTTCAATTCTGTTAAACCTTTGTCCCCGGAGTGGTGTTTTGAGTTTCGATAATAGTTAGAAATCACATAGGACTAAATCAGGTGAGGACTGTGGTTGTAGAACGACATCTGCTGTATTTTTAGCGAAATGGTCTCAATGAGCCAACGCATTGTGAGATGGCGCATTGTCGTAACGCAGAAAAGAGTTGTCTTTCTACAACTCCGCAGTCTTTTTGCGAACCGCTTAAGGCAAACGACGCATAACGCTTAAGTAGTATTCCTTGCTAACAGTTTGACTCAGTGGTAGGAACTCATGGTGCACAACACCACGACAATCAAAGAAACCTGTTAACATTACGTTGATGTTTGAGCGACTTTGGCGCGGTTTTTTCGATCTTGGCCCACCTTTTGCACGATATTCGCTCGATTGATCGGTTGTTTTCACTTCATATGCTTAGATCCAAATCTGATCCACCATAATAATGCCTTTCATGACCAATTAATCTAAAGATTCCTCCTCAGATTTTAAAGCGAAGTCGTTTTAAAAAAATTGACTTTTTCGGAACTAAAGAAGATGAGACAATTTCGAGGCCCTTTCAAAATGTTGTTGACTGATCTTTTTGAAATGTCGACAGCATCAGCAAGCTCTCTACACGGTTCTTGAGCATCCAATCTTCAATTTATTTGACGTAACTTTCTTCGGTCGAGATTAACGGTAGTCCGATTAACTCGTTCTGGATATTCTTTGAGCTGCTTATACCATTTGTAAGCATTTCTTTCTGACAAAGTCTGCTGCAAAGTCTGCAGTTTCTCAAATTTTTATAGTTTCTAAATACGTCAATTGAAAAAGTTTTTTGATCACTTTTTAAAAATAAAAAACTGCCAAGTAGATGTCGAAAAATCCCTTTCACCCTTATCCTAAAGACAATTACTTTTTATCCAAAATGAAAAAGAGAATATCTTGAAGTATTATTCGAAACATTATTCCGGAGGTATGTAGGTCCTTGGAATAAACGTCGTCGATTTCACGTAACAAATTTTTCATTTTTCGAAAAAGTCGGTCAAAAATCGATCGTAAAATGGACTAAATAAAGTAGCCCAATCTAATAAGAAATCCAGGTTCTTTATTAGGAAGCCTTATTATAGAGCTATAAAGGATAATCGGTTGCAAATTGAACGAACCGACTCGAAAGGCACAATTTCGCTGTTAAAGTTTCAAAGGGTAACGCCGCGCTATTAGAGACTTTTTTGTTGGACAGGCATTAGAATAAAAATATTCGAGGAGCCATTCCCCAAGCCAGGCTTATCTAATGGCCTCTAAGGCCTGTAGTATAATTGATACAAACTTGAATCTAAACATATTAGAGATTTACAACCGGCTGTAGTCGAAGATTTACGATCACCACTCTATCATCAAAAAAAAAAAAAACGAAAAAAATAATTCTCAATACCGTGTAAATGATTTTTTCCGTTTTTTTACACATACGGTAGGGCCACCTGTAATATATTTCCGGAAATTTTGATTGCTTTATCTGTTAGAGCTTATAGGTAATGAACAGAAAATCTGATTTCAATTGCTTTTGTAAGCAGAGATGTTCTTAGTTTGGGGTGTAACGTGGGCTTGCTCTTTGACATTAAATTGACTCATTCTCTGTATAAATCTGCATGCAAAAGCTTCCAAATTATTGAAATTAATGAATGAATTAGAAATGAATAGATAAAAAATTAAGAAATCTCTTCCAAGTACTTGAAGAAGAGCTCGAAATTTCAAAAAAAAAAATGTCTTTCAATTAATGAACTTTTTTACCACATTTTAAATGATTCAAGCACATCTATTAATCCAATCAAAAGGAAAAATTTTTATAAAAAAATTTACAATGCCGTTACGTCTTAAACAATAGTAAATCTAAGTAGTATTAATTTAGTGACTGCATTAAAAAATCGGCTTTCTGAGCTGAACAAGGAAATACAGAGACGAGAAGTCGATCGAAGATGATTAAAAATG